AAACATCTAGCCAACACAAAAGATAAACTTTATATAGACTGGGCTACATGTAGATTCATAGACGATATAGAAGTAGTTCGTTGCTTAAATTGTCAGCAATTCGGTCATGTACAAAAGTTTTGCACCATAAAAACCCCTACTTGTGCTAATTGCGCCGCCGCACACGAAACGCGAGCTTGTCCAGATAAAGACACACCAGATTTTAAGCCCACGTGCGCACAGTGTAAGCGGTTCAAAAAACCATCTGACCATCGATGCGGCTCATACGACTGTGCCACATACAAATTAAAACTGGAACAGCTAATATTAAATACCAATTACTGAATAGTTTAACTTAGTTAAAAAAAAAAAAAAAAAAAAAAAAAAAGTTAAAAGAGTAACTTACTAAGTAATGAATAATATTTCGATAGGCCAGTTAAATCTTCATAACGATAAAATAGCTACATCAGAATTAGACCGTTTAATTTTAGAACAAAAGTTAGACATTGTCCTTTTACAAGAACAATATCAGAGCGCTCACTTGCGTCGTAATGTAGTACAGCTTGACTGCCGTTCGCGGGCTGGGATATATGTTGCAAGTTCTAATTTTACGGTAACATCTTTGCGTAATCTTATGACGTCACACTGCGCCGTTGCTGAGATCTCATCCTCTACCTGTAAGGTTTACGTAGTGAGCTGCTATTTTCAATATTCACATCCTATTGATCCTCACTTACATCACTTACGTTACGTCTTGCAGTTCCTCGTGGGACATAAAATTATCATTGGAGCTGATGTCAATGCGTCATCTTCATTATGGTATGGCAAGTTGCGTTCAACCGACACGGTTCGACGTTGTGCGGTTGAAGATTTCATTGCGGAAATGAATCTTATTATTCACAATACCCCCGATGCACCACCAACTTTTTGCAACCCAATGGGTGAGTCTTCTATTGACGTGACGCTTACGCGCGGCGACGTCTCGATATCCGGATGGCGTGTCCTTCCGGACGCATCCTGTAGTGATCACCGCTTGATCGTGTACGAATTCATACCAAGGGTTGCACAGAATCCACAAAGGGCTCCCTATAATTTTAGATATAAAACTAAAGGTGCGAACTGGGCTTTGTTTGGTTCACTCTTTGCAACTCATACCAAAGACTTCAGTCGCAGTAGTTTATCAGCTGAGGAAAGCGCAGAAATACTATCAGAAACTTTTACATACTGCGCTGATGTAACTATTGGTCGCGGATCTATCACTAACACTCGTAGATGTGATTGGTGGAATGATAGATTAGCCGAACTACGTAGAAGCTACCGGAAAGCTCGTAGAAAATTAAACACTATTAAAAAACATAACGTAACAGGAGATTTGTACAACAATGCTCTCATTGCTCTTAGAGTTGCCAGGTCCCACTACAGAGCTGCTGTGGAAAAATCCAAGGGAAACTTAATTCAGAAACTTGTTGATAAACTCGATAGAGAGGGCCCGTGGTCACCTTTGTATCACGAATTTAAGGCAAATAGATCAATCGACCTTGCATACATACAGAACATCAAAATTAATAACAGATATACCACAGGAGTAGAACAAACAGCAGAATATCTTTTAGACTCACTCGTACCTGACGATCGACCGGAAAACGACACTGATCATCACCGACAGATCAGGCAGTGGGCCATCGAACCACCACTGTCTCCAATGTCTGATTTACCATCTTCAGACGAATTTCTCGGTATCATTAGATCCTTGCCGCTAAACAAGGCTTCGGGCGATGATAAAATATCTAACAAAATGATAAAAGAAGCTTGTAAACTTTCGGGTGACACGATTTTCACTGTCTTTAAACGTTGCATTGCTGAAGGAATATTTCCTCGTATATGGCGGTGCGGTAATATTCGTATAATACCAAAAAGTGGCGACAAGCCACCGGATGATCCTAAATCCTACCGACCAATCACATTATTACCATCGTTAGGAAAGCTTTTAGAACGTCTTGTAGTGCCCCGGCTTCTGCCAGGTGGAGTCAAATTTCATGATAGACAATTTGGATTTACGTTGGGTAAATCGACAACTGACGCTGTTATATCGGTTAGAAAGTTTGTCACAGAGTCAAAATTTCAATACGTGCTGGCTATTTTCTTAGATATATCTGGCGCCTTCGACAACGCATGGTGGCCCATGCTGTTGCTGAAATTAAAATCACGGGGGTGCTTTAAAAATATTTATTCCCTTATCTCTTCGTACTTTTCACAAGGTACAACTAAACTAAGACTTGGTCATCATTCGGTGTCGAAGGCGCTTACAATGGGATGTCCTCAGGGATCGGTGCTAGGTCCATACTTGTGGAATATCAGCTTCGACGATTTTCTTGCGATACCAATACCATCCGGATGTACTCTGAACGCGTATGCTGATGACGGCTTATTACTGGTGGAATCTGATACTAGGGCGGGGCTTGAGAGATTAGCCAATAGATGTTTGAGCTTGATATCTCAATGGGGTGAACGTAATCGCTTAACTTTTGCACCCAACAAAACCTTCCAGCTACTTTTAAAAGGTAACCTCAAATCACCGCCGAGCATTAGATTTGACAATGTTACTGTAAAAAATAAAACTACAGTGTGTTATCTAGGATTAGTTTTAGAAAGAAACTTTTCATTTATCGAACATATTAAAATAGTTAATGAAAAGTCTAAAAAGAGTTTCTGTGCATTGACAAGGATATCAACTGCGACATGGGGTCTATCATTTAATACATTAAAGATCATATACGGAGCTACTTATTTAGGTTCTATGTGCTATGGTGCACCTGTATGGGCCGATAGGGCGACCGTAGGCGCTGTCCGTCGCAAACTGTTACAAGGCCAACGACTTGCACTGATATTCTTGTGTAAGGCATATAGGACGGTTAGCACTGAGGCTTTGCCGGTGTTGGCGGGTGTGCTTCCGGTCGATCTCGAGGTGCAGAGACGTGCAGCCATGTATTATTCAAGACAACAAAACATGGAATGCGATTTTTTGGGCGCGCGGGATCGCGGTAAAATTACAAGATTGCTTCAACAGCAGCCCGATGTCTATAATGACCTCATAGACGAATGGCAACAACGCTGGGATGAATCATCCAAGGGGCGCCATCTTTACCAATTCTTTCCATCTGTTCGCGAACGGTTGTCGAGGATATGGCTTGAGGTGGATCACTGTGTCGCTCAATTTCTTACGGGTCATGGTAACTTTAAGAGCAAGCTTTATTCATTTAAATTAGTCGAGTCACCATTGTGTCAATGCTCAACACCTAACTCTCACTATGAACAGTCTGCTCATCATATCCTCTGGGAATGTAGTCTTTGGTATAATGAACGTAATATAATGCTGAATAGCTTGCAGGTGACATCTGGGGCGGTATACTATGGGGATCTTGTGTCAACTAGGGTGAATTTCCGTGCGTTTAGGCGATTCTGCCATACATATTACAGAAATCAAACATAGCTCACGTAGGACCCGTAATATTTGTGGCCGTGGTGCTTCCCTGTTTAAAAGGGTGAATGCCCATTTTACTTCATTTTGTCTCCCGCTTTGCTAAGGAGGGAAGTGGATTTACTGTATTTCCAACTCCTCCAATTTTCTTCTGATTAATTTCGTTGCGGGTTCCAAGACAGTTTAATTTCTTCCTGGGACTTCCCGAGTGTCATAACTCGGTGTGTTCGTGGGTCACTGCTGTGGATCCTGGTGTACAGGAGTTACAGTGGTGGGCGTGTGGGTGGGATTAGTCCCAATAGCACCTACAATAAAGACGGTTGCACAAATTTATAACAATAATTGAACGTACTAATTGTCTTCATAAGCTATTTTTAGATTGTTTTAGATTAAAAAATAAATATTTTTTTAAAATACTTCAGATGAGTATGGGCCATTTATAGTCTTACTTTAGTCCAGTCAACAAGTTAAAAAACGTGTTAATTCTTGTGCCCGGTCCTAAAAACATGTCCTAAAGTAGTCCAATCTACTAAAAACTGTTTAAGCTCACAATCTTTAAGTAGTTTTAGATGATTTATACAACCGTTAGATGTTCCGAAAAAAATAATCTCAATGTTCTAAAAAATGAAGTTGTTTTAAAAATATATAAAAATAAACAATCAGTTTCTCATAACTCAACAGGTGACTATAAAAATAAAAGCTGCAAAATTAATAAAAAGCAAACAAAAATATCATACCTTACACAACGAAATAAAAACGTCGCTCGTGCAAAAAGAAAGAAGGAAAGGGACGGAACAAGGAAATATTAACATAAAAAAAATAATGCAAAACTTATAACAAAGCACGCGTAAACATTTAAGTAGGACCATTCTTTCAAAATAATATCATTTCTTTACAACCTAGAATTACTTATTACTAAATTATTCTGTACTTAACATGTAAAAAAGCTGCATTACTTTTCGGTGCGAAGGTAAAAACACTTGTGAATAAAGCCTTTATTAAAACTATTTTTAAAATAGTATAATAAAGACGACAAAAACATTTGAATACTATTTGTACACAACTCGAAGTTTCGATCTATGTGACAAAGAAATGTCACGTACATAAAAAAAAATTGCCTAACTGGCAGTAAAAATGAGACGAACAAAATATTGGCGGGCTACACTTAAATATCGAATAAGATCCATAGAGTAAAGAATTTGCCAAGAGGCATTAGCTGTCAGTACCAGACTGTTTACTTTTTAAATGTGTTGCAATGACACTACATTATTAATTTAGTTTTCAGAGCGCATTTGAAGGGAAACCTTGAATTTATGTCTGTGAGTTTTTTTTATTTATTTACAAGAATTTGTTTTATACTGCGTGTTCTTGTAACCTGTGAACCAGACTAATCTGAACACAATTTGACATTTTGTTTTTCTTTCATTATACTTATTTGCATTTTTTTATTTTTTATTTAATAATGCTTAGTTGACAATAATCTCAGCAGACATTTTCAAGACCTTGAAGTGCAAAGGAAGTAGGGAAAGGTCGGGGGAGATATTTAGACGAGCGTGGCGAAGGCCTGCGAAGCGGAGTCAGTTTGTCCAGAAGGGGGGGGCCTTCGCTTGCGTCCGTACTGGCCAATAAACGAACCGTCCTCGTTCATACCCGCTGAAAAACATGCTTTTGCTTATAGCCACACGACAACAAACATGCTTAGGAAAAAAAGATTAAAGTTTAGTGATATCTAATATGAACAATTTTGTCTTAATGTTCAGTTAAATTAAAAAAAAAACAAGTATAGCCTTCTTCAATGAACAAAATCTTTGGACCTAAATAAATGTGTTTGTGCCAAGTCTGTTGATATCTTCTAAGTATTAAAAATAAATAAAAAATATGTAAAACAATATTACTTGTCACCTGGCACTAAAATGCTATTTATAGGCAGAAGGTTACAGTCACGAGCGTAAACTAATTTATCAAGACATCTTTCTGTTTAAATACCTTGTTTTAAAAAAATACTATTATTCTATAATATCACTGCACTTGTGTTCGTTTTGTTATTTTTAAATGTTCGTATAGTCTGTTTTTTTAAATGTTCACTGATCCAGCACTAATTACACTTTCCGGTAAACTATTCCAAATGGTTACAAAGCGATTTGGTACAAAATTTATTTAAAGTTAGAAGAGTTAGCTTTTAAATACTATTAACAGACATTATGTTGTTCATATCAGATATCATTAACGGCTTTAAAAAAAATTAAACGGCACAAATCAAAATGCTGCTTCAAAAATTAAAGTTTCGTAACAGCTTGTAAAATAGGCACAATAATTCTCTAAAAAGGAATTGGTGAGTATTTTAATCATGCACTAATAAAATAACAAACAATATTGTAGTAATTCACAAAAACGAGCACGTTATATAATATCTAGGCTTGCTTTTTTCAATCGAGCTCTACGGTCAAACTAATCAGCGTTCACGAAATGCATTCAGTTAATGTTTCTTATTTCTGGCATAAATTTTAGAAGTCTGACTGTAATCCTACTACTTTCAAAAATATGAGAAATTGCCGACTGTCTCCATTTTGTTCTTCTTTATAAATGGAGCAGTATCTTTGTGAACGATAAGAAATGTAATGAAAGCTCCATGCTTTAGTCGTCACATACCAGTCTCTCCCTCGCCGTACTCAGCCATGGAGTCGGTGTCGCTCTCGGGGCCGGGCTTGGTGCCGCTGCTCATCGAGTGACGAGATTTGTTGTCAAGTCTGCAATTAGAAGTGAATATTTTATTTATTTATCCATGCTGCTCTGTGTAAGTTTGGCACTTTTAATTTAAGAACAGATTTTAAGAAGTCCTTCAGAGGATTTTTTTTTGATAAGTTTAAAAATATGTTTTTGGATGTGGCTTCAAAATATTTTTTTTTTTTATTCTTATGGTGTCTAGTGAACTGTGTACGTTAAGTGCTCATTAAATATTTAGTAACAAGGTGTAAACATTAGATATGAGGCGGTGCGTACGGGTGCGTGTACTCGTGGAAGCCCGTGTCGGGGTAGTCGCGGCGGCCGTGCGCGAGCTCGCGGTCGTGCACGTCGTACTTCCCGCCGCGGTTGCGCCGCACCACGCACACCAGCACCAGCACCAGCAGCAGGAAGGCCAGCGCCAGCATCACGCCGATGAACCAGCCCGCCGTCGCCGTCTTGTCGCTGTCCGGCTTCACGATCGGACCGTCTGCGGGTTACCGATCATTCATATAATGCATGACCGAGTGTGGAATTACAGCGTCACGTTTCTTTACACGGGAGATACATAAATTGAGAGAATTAGAGAGCATATTTAACTTTTTACTCCTTTTGGCATATTAGCGGGCTTTATACCTACGCTTGTACCAGTCATTCTTACCAGTTTAAAAAAAAAAGATTAATGCGTCCCAAAATACCGAAAAACAATGAAATAAATGAAATATATCTGACGACAGTTAACTGGTATGTCAAATCGCTTTATTTTTATTAAACTATATACTTATATACTCCATGGGCGGCGGTAGTTGCTTACCATCAGGTGACCCGTCTGCTCGTTTGCCTCCTTATATAATAAAAAAAAACATAACGTCGAACTTGAGACTTCAACATAAAGTAACATATCTAGACAACTATAATATGTCACTCTACAAATGAACTCCTTTAAATTTATTCTTTTAACTAAAAGAAAATTGCCCATTTTAAGAACTAGGGAATAAAAAAAAGAAAGAACAAAACACTTTTCTTATTGGGACTAATCCCATCCACACGCCCACCACTGTAACTCCTGTACACCAGGATCCACAACAGTGACCCACGAACACACCGAGTTATGACACTCGGGAAGTCCCAGGAAGAAATTAAACTGTCTTGGAACCCGCAACGAAATTAATTAAAAGAAAATTGGAGGAGTTGTAAATACAGTAAATCCACTTCCCTCCTTAGCAAAGCGGGAGACAAAATGAAGTAAAATAGGCATACACCCTTTTAAACAGGGAAGCACCACGGCCACAAAATATTACGGGTCCTACATGAGCTATATTTGATTTCTATAATATGTATGGCAGAATCGCCTAAACGCACGGAAATTCACTTACCAATAGTAGTATCAACGTCTCTTAATTCACTGCTGCTAAAGTATTCGCCGTCATGGGCCGTTAATTTGACTTCATAAACTTGTCCGGGCTCCAGTCCTGTGAGAATCGCGTAGTCATCTTCTGTAATCTCGTGAGTCTTCGACCAGTCTGGGTGACCTTTCAGCCTATACCAAGCAATGAAATGAGTGCCTGCATGCCCATCCAATGACGGCAACCAACGAACTAGAATATGTGCGGTGCCTTCTTTAGCTGGTAATGTTTTAGTTTCGAACACGGGGATGTCTGGTTTAGCAGTTACAACACTCTTCGTCGTCTGTTCTACGTAATACTTGTCACCTTCACCAGCCTTGGTCTTTGCTCTGATTTCGATTCTGTACTTCGTGTTTGGTTCTAAGCCAGCCAACTTTGCGCGGTCAAATTTAGGGTCGATTTCCTTCTTTCGCTCCTGGACTGGGCCTAAGTTGGTGCCAGTGACCTTTTGGTAGTAAATCTTGTAGCCTGTTAGAACGCCGTTTTCATCGACGGGCTTGTCCCATTTGAGTAACATAGCCGATGAACCGATTGGGTAAACCTCGAATGATTTTACAGTACCGGGTTTTCCTTCAGGCGTGTGGAAGCTTAGGGTATCGCTGGGAGGCCCATTGAAACGTCCGTTGTATACCAAGATTCTGGCGTTGTTTTTCTTGTAAGGTTTAAACTTAGTAACCAAAGCGCTTGAAGCGTCAGCTTTCACTAAAATTTCCTTCAATTTGTCTTCTTCACCGTCGACCCAAGTTTGGATTTTGTAGCCCTTGAAGTGACCGCGGACTGATTCTGGTGGAACGGATTCCCAGTTAAGCAAGGCTGTAGTGCCTGTAGTAACTTGGACGAGGGTAAAGTTGGCCGGTGATTGCAGAGGAGTATCCTCACCAGACCAACCGATCACCTCGACAGGGGTTACATTCGATGTGCCTTTGTAGTTTACTGCTGTCACCTAAGATAACAAATAGATCACAATGAGACAATTATATTTTGACATTTAAAGTACCGTACTGTACCTACTTTAAAAAGAATTTAAAGCTTACCTTAATCTTGTAGGGTTGGAAGGTGGGCGTGGCGAGAACAACGTACTCGGTCTGCTGCCAGTCTCGGACTTGTTCCTCGCTCCAGGGTTGACCGGTGATGTTGCGGCGCCACGTCACCAGGTAGTAGAACCCGGGGCCATTGTGCTCGATTTGAGGCATTTTCTGACAATTACAATAATCATCTTGTAGAGCCGTAATAAGTATGCTAGCAGGCTAACAATTTTACTATTACCTTACTACACTACATAACATGGTTCAACTTCCTTACATGACCTAAGGTGCTTTACTGCCTATTTTAATTTATAAACACATTTATAAATATTAAGCAATAAAGGACTCGACATGCTACCTTGTTCTATACCACAATAATATTTGGAATTGAAATATTTGGACTATACGGATGGCGTAGTGGTTTAAGCGGTCGCCACGCCGCTTCCTATTACGCTGACTGTTTGATCCCCACATGGGGCGACATTTTGTATGATCTACAAATTGTTGTTCTGAGTCTGGGTGTTCTTTGAGTCCCTTCCATGTGTGTTTGTAAGGTCCTAATGCGGGAGTAGCACTTTTATCAAAAATAAAAAATAAACAGAATAAGATGTGGTTAAATTGTGTGAACATCGAGATATTGCACTAGGATACTATACGCTCACTTTCCGGCACTAATATCATACTTCATTCATAATTTCTTAAATTTAAATACAGTGTACTGAAGACATTTACAATGTTTTTCTATTATATTTACCTAATATTCTTGTTTAGTTAATTAGTTAATTTGAATTGTATTTTTAAGACGATATATTAGATTAAAGGCCATATAAATTTAAAGCCAACACATCCACTTACCGACCAAGATATGACCATATTAGTTGGATCGCTGCCTTCGCCCTTGACATTGTCGGGGTTTTTATATGGAACGTCTGGTTGTGTGGTGCAAACGTCCGAATGAGATGATGGGGTGGAAGGTCCGATTTTGTTCCAAGCACTCACTCTGTGAACGGAACAATTTATATAAATATTAATTTTTTTGATGGTTTATTTTTAGGAGTTGGCTATTAAATTTAAGTAGGTATCTGAAACTATCTCTAGTTTAACATAGCAGATAAAATCTTACTTACTTTTAATACAGATATGCCGATTTATTTATTTATTAGATATTAATACTTTCAGTTTATGTAAATTATATAACTTCTGAAAATAATTGGTCAACTTGCCGCGTCTACTGTCGGTGTTAAGTCTTGTTTTACTAACATATGGTATAAATATGAGCAGATAAATTATTTCGACCATCAAATGATGGTCGTGCTGAGCTATCGTTGTCGTTGGGCGTTATCTTTCTAAACAAACCCAAGAAATCTTTAAAAAATTCAAAAGGAGAAGAATACTAATATTATAATAAGAATATGAACACACACGGATAAGAATTATCCGTGTGGTGATAAGAATACGGAGTGTCACCACCCCTATTCGTCCCGTAGGTGTCGTAAGAGCCGACTAAGGGAGCAAGAGCGAGACAACAGCACTGCAAAGAGAAGGAAAACTTAACACAAACCCTATACCAAACCATCTGGCCAGCGAGGTATAGTAGACCAAAACCTCCTTTCTAAGGAGAGGCCTATGTCCAGCAGTGGACTATTAAAGGCTGTTTTTGTGATAATAAGAATGAGGTCACTTGTGTCTACCACTAAAGTCTTCATATCAATATTACTGTAAAGGGTTTTACCTGAAGGTATAATTAGCCCAGGGGCTAAGCTGCACAGTCCATGCTGTGTCAGTAGCAGGGACGTTGTCGCTAGCGACGTCCCACGTGTCCGGGGTGAATGTGGTGTTGTACTGTATGGAGAAGCGCAGGATCGGTGCCCGGTTGTCTCCCATCGGATGCCAACGAAGTGATGCTGTCTTTGCTCCACATTCTATATGGTCCAAGGCTGGTGGGTTGGGTTTGTCTGTCGGGAGAAAATGTTTGTTTCTTGTTTATAAAATCTTATTTTACGCCACTTAAAGAATAAATTATAACAATTATTGCAATTTCAACAATATTGTAGTATAAATCATACTGTAATTAGTTGGAAAAGATTGGATTAATGTAAAGAAAGTTTTATATTTAAACAAACATATCAAAAACAAGTTCAGTTTTTGATAAACTTCATAAAGTCGCTTTTTCCTGGGGCTGTGTAGTTTACATCTTTATTACAAATTATAACAACACATATACACCAACGTGTTTAATCAATATAAATGGGCAATTATAGCCCGTTAACTTAATCTAATAGCAATACATTTAATTATTAACATAAGTATAGTCGGTACATTCAATAATTTAGTTTTTGACTGATCAACAACATTCAATTAGTGTTCACTTAACATTACCGATTCGATTAAAAGTAACAATCGATTTTATTTAAATGAAAGTTTTAGTTTCTAGTTTAGAAAAAAATATTGCAATATAAATATTTGCTAGCATCATTACGTGCAATACAAGGTTCTTGTTGCGTAACAGAAAAAATAATTTAGTTAAAAAAAAACTACTAAATTCTAATAAAAAAGATTTTTTTTTTAAACAGCGCGCTTTGAAGTTTACTTTTATCTGACGCTTTACGCTACCATCACATGAGCGTAAGGTAAGAAATTTATTTACCGTTCATTACTTTTCTGTTCTTGTAGTATCGAAACGGCCAATCCACATATTTTAAGTAAGGGGTAGGGTTTGTAAAGTTAGGGCTTGCAGAGGTAGGGCGTGTAAAGTTAGAAGCAAGCATTTAACATAAAAATGTTTTTGGTGGGATTAAATTTCTCATAGTTACGTTGTTAAGCTGTCAAAATAAATTACTTAGACAGGCAGTTAAATAATAATATATGTGAGTTTTGAATTGCAGGTGTCCATGGGCGGCGGTAGTTGCTTACCATCAGGTGACGCGTCTGCTCGCTTGCCCCCTTATGCCATAAAAAAAGAAAAAAAAATACCTTGAACAGTTAATGTAGCTTGCGCCCTCGCTTCGTCAATAGCCGTCCTGGCAATGCACGTGTATTCGCTGGAGTCCAACTCTGTGGTGTCAGAAATGAGCAGCGAGTAATCGTTGGTCATTCTGAATCGGGGCTGGCTCTCGAAGTCGATCGGTTGCCCGTCGTTGAGCCATATGATCTCCAATTTGAGTGAGTCGTCCGCGTTGGCGTTACAGCGGAAGGTGGCCGATGAACCGGCTGCGACCTCGTAATGTTCCGGCTTATCAGTGATCACGGTGCGTTCTGAAATGCGAATAGAAAAGGTACAAATGAAATAAATAGTAGTTTTAACAGCACAGATATCTACAAAATAACATTTCATTCTAAATTTAAATAAATATCCGTGTGGTGATACGGATTTTCCGTGTGGTGACTTATTAAGAATACAGAGTGTCACCACCCCTATTCATCCCGTGGGTGTCGTAAGAGGCGACTAAGGGAGCGAAATACGCAGGACACCAGCACTGCAGAGAGAAGGAAAACTTGACACAAACCCTATACCAACCCATCTGGCCAGCGTGGTATAGTAGGCCAAAACCTCCTTTCTAAGGAGAGGCCTATGTCCAGCAGTGGACTGTTAAAGGCTGTTGATGATGATTCTAAATGCGGGAACTTGACCTTGCACCAAGTTAATATTATGAAAAAAATCCTTTGCTCTATCCGCTTGAATGTAAATTAATGAATTAGTTTCTGATCTAACCTATCTTCCCGAGAACAATATAACTACTCTCTTTTTAACAAACTATGTTTTATTATTTACAAATAAGAACTAACACTTTATAATTTTTGACTTTATTTGAATACGCTACTTAGTAAGATACTGTTGGTATTTTTTTTTAAAGTATGAACCTTGTACTAACTTGCACAATATATTGTAAAACTTCTAAATTATGACAAGATGGTGTGTTTTAAAAGTATCTTCAAAAGTGTGTTTTAATTCAATGATGAAACTGTATAATTTGTAATCTTTAATTTATAACCGTTAATTTTGTATTTACTTAAAATGTTAACTACTGTTAATTTTGTATTTACTTAAAAATGATTCTTTTATATTGTCACTAATAAAAGGCCAGATTTTATTAAGTTTACATTTTGAAAGCTATATATTTAGAGACCGTCAAGTTAGCAAAGTTTTAAGTAACGAGTTAATTGACACCAACCAGGAACATGACTAGTATAGCAGTTCTACTTAGAATTTACTGACAGAAAAACACATAGAAAATCGATACAAAATAGAGATTCAGGATTTCATGTAAAAGTGGTCCAACAAATGTCACGAAATCAAAGAGGTTAATGAATAAAAAAACAAAACAAAAAATACTCACTCTTAACATCCAAAGATCCGAATGCAGACTTTTCACCAAATTTGTTTTTTGCGTAGCACTCGTACGTGCCGACATCCGTGTAAGATACGTCTCGTATCACGAGATCGCCGTCGGCAGTTATGTTGTATCTGTTAATATTACCAAAGTGTTGGATTTAAAGATCCTTTAGAGCTGAAAGATTAGAAGGAAGAGACATGGGACACCGCTAAATCTCCACTTGTTTCTTTGGTGTTTTATTATTTACTAGCTGAGACCCGCGGTGTTACCCGCGTATGTTGTTATTACCGCGGACAACGCCGCGGGGCGAAGCTAGTCTAAAAAAAGTAGCCTAAGTTACTCCTTATGTCATCAGCTATCTGCCAGTGAAAGTCCCGTCAAAGTCGGTCCAGCCGTTCCGGAGAGTACCCGGAACAAACAGACAGACAGACAGACAAAAATTGTAAAAAATGATATTTTGGCATATGTACCGTGTAAACATACATATGCATTTAGTAAAAAGTGGTTATTTTAATATTACACACAGACACTCCAATTTTATTTATTTGTATAGAGTATAGATTATATTTGCGAGTTTGAACTCTAGGTATTTTACAAAAATATTATGTTAACATAACAGTTTTAACCTATATACTCTTTATAAAACATGTTATTTTATATGCAAGACAGGCATCATAATTTTATTACATATAATCTGACTGTCATATTTATTCAAGGATCATAAACAACAGTAGGTCTACATGTATTTTTTTTTATAAAGTAACGTTTTCGTAAAACAGTCGTCGATTATACACGTTGTGTACAGAGATAATAAATCATATCAGAAGGACATGATACATCCCACAAAATAATTAGACTAGAAAATTATGATATTATGTGTAGCAGCCTCCATGGTCGTAGAATACAAGCATTATGTAGTTAATAGACACCATGGTTCATGGTATATTAGCCGACACAAACATAAAAATGGCTGTATATTTTTAGAGACTATAACTGGGTTCATATCGATCATTAAATTGTTGGCACGATGTACAAACGACGCATCAACGGTTACTCAACAATGCGTACGTCAAATGTGGCTTAATAAAAACCGTTTCGTTTATGCAATAATATCAGATAGAAATTTAGACACCAAAAATATATCTAGCGAACTTTTTATACATTGTAGTACTAACACCATTATTAGCTGACCCAAGCAAATTAGTCTGTCTCTCTCGGAAGGAATTTATTTTCCCAGTTTTTACAAGATTTTTCATTGCTGCTCGACTCCTACTAGTCTTAGCGTGGTGTTAATATAGCCTTCCTTTCTCGATTAATGGGCTTGCCAACATTTTTTTGTTTCAATTCGAACCAGTAGTTCCTGAGATTAGCGCATTTAACTAAACAAACAAACTCTTTAGGTTTATAATATTAGTCTAGATAGTTTATTTAAACTATCTGGTTACTACCAGCCCGTACTTAATGTACTGAAGGGCTTTGTATATGCACTTTGAGTCAGTCGGTGGGTTCAGGGAGTTCTTTAATAGCTTTGACCTGACAAATACTTGATGTAAAAACAGGACCTGAGCTTTAGGAATATATACAATGGGTGTGTAGAACACCGTGTGGATTCAGTCAGTGGGGTTTAGATATACCCACTTCTCAAGAGTGCTATGTGTGACGATATCCGAAGTGGAATTAAATGCCTCATTTACACGTACAAACTTTTAAACAATGCTTTCTTCTGCCTGATAGTGTGTACTGTCGTTTGTCTGATACGGTGTAAAGTGTTTCCTTTTTATCGTTAGTAAAAGTTTTATACCTTGTATAATACATACGTATACTATAATACAAAATCTCGTTAATAATATCACTGCCTGTTTGGTCTATTCACGACATTTGGCGGCAAATATGTATATATAAGTACGTAAATGATTATTAAAGGTTCTTCTTCTCTATAAATAGTTCTAACCTTTCTGCTTTAAATAAACATTTATTTGCAGAGTAACCTTTAACATAACGACACATAATAACATTAAAAGACAGACATACACACACACACCACATATATTCATTAAGGAAGACATAGATTTAATTGGTTTTTATTAAAATTTTATTTACTTAGGTATCACTAAACCAAAAGGAAAGAGTATAATTTTAACTGTTTATATGTACAAATATGGTTTTATTAATTCAGCTACGTGGAGTCGATGTCAATCGATTGATTTAGTTACTAGCTTTTGCTCGTGGCTCTACCCGCATGTATGTTGGTTTTCGCGGTAAAAAGTATGTACATCCTCAAGAATCAAAGTCTCTCCATGGATAAAATCATTTAAATCGGTTCAGCGGTTTAGCCGTGAAAGCGTAACAGACAGACAGAGTTACTTTCGCATTGTAATATTAACTAGGGCTTATGTCTCTGTGACATTCCAAGCACAGATAATAATATCAATATATAAATATAAATACTTTCAAATACATACATATTTTGGATAAAGTACACCCAGACACAGGACAAATGACTGTGCTCATCACACAATTATTTGTCCTGGGTGGGAATCGAACCCACGACCTCTGGCGTAGCTCAATAAATAAATATTAATCAAATCATATCACACATCACATTATTACAATATATACTTGACTTGTCTACTCGATAAGGTAATGATCGCAATCGGAACGCACCTTGTTTCTTAGCTCTGTTTATTTATTCAATCCCACACACTCTTTTTTTTAATCAACTAAACTCTTTTTAATCAATTAAATGTCTGTTGTGTTTCTTTAATTGAATTGTAGCCTCACATTGATATTATATTTATTAGACATGAAAAAATACCATAGACAAAGAAGAAAATTTATTCTCAGGGTATGGTCTGTTTTTTAGTGTACTTGGCCCGTTTCCACAAATTATCTTTGTTAAGAAATGGAGTTACCAAATGGAACACGATGTTACATCGCTTCTTTGGCCTCATAACTAAAACAACTATTTATTTATGAATGCAAACACTGTCACGCCTTGAAGAAGTTTGTGTATTATGAGTGAAAGCGGTTAGTCTTTATACAAGAACAACGTTAAGAAGGAATACGGCATGTAGAAGGTTTTTTTCTAAAAGACAACTTTCACAATCATACATGAAACGGACACAAAGAACACCGAGACTCAGAACAAGAGATTGTGGATCACACAAAGTTTCGTCCCATATGGGTATCGAACCCACAACACTCAGCGTACTAGTAAGCGGCGGGGCGACCGCTTAAACCATTACGCCATTCGAGCAGAAGATCAGCGAAATGTTCTAGATATTCATAGATTAGTTCTTCGTTCACTCAAAACAATATTAAGGTTATATATTCTTAAAAAAACTCTGTGATCTCTTGTAAAACAATTCAATCACTTTAATCAAATTGACTGAAGATATTTTCGTTTAAGAAACAGTTCAATGAACTGAAAAGCCTTTTCATGTGTACCAAAAGGGGATGGAAACTTGATAATATAACCTCCCTTAATCCGGGGGACGTTTTGATATCCGATTCTTAAGATCCGTTATCTTGTATACATTGGGTGGGAATTTAGACAACTGGATAAACACGTTTTGCTGGTTTTACGAAAATATAAATGGGGAGTGAAGACGGAGAAAACATTGTGTAATTTCGGAAAGTCTATACATGTATGTCGTAAGGTTTTTCAGTTATGGGGTGATATGGTTTATGACAAGTGTAAAGCTCGACGTAAAATTTTACTGCATTATGACGTGACATATACAAATGAGGGGACTTCGACGGTCAGTTTCAAATGTTCATGTGAATTGAAAGTAATTTGTTTTAATTGATAAATTATGATCATAGCATTTGATACGATCGGACGTATGGTTAATGTGTTTCAGAGAACATAATCAAGTATATCTGTTAAGAAACTATTACTATTTTTAGTATCTTTAGTATTAGTTTACAAGAATAACACAGTACACAAGTGCCTATTAAAAAAGACTTAGGTAGTAACAGAGGTTAGACTGATAGGTGGGGAAGCCTGCTTTCCCCGGGATGGATCCGGGGGAAGGGGGGGTCTGAAATAACACCCACACCGACAAAAAAAAAGTAGTTAATCACTCCCTTATCACTTTCGTAAGGGAGATAATTTTCTTGTTCCCTGGGTACCAAACTTAAAAATACGTTTCTGTATTTAACTTCAAAAGCGAATAAAAGAAAATTCCAACCACTGAATATTGAATCAGCATCACAAAAATGCGTATTCAAAATGGTCTCACCATTAATCTCGTTAGCCGCTCGTCTTCGTTTATATTAAATAGGCAGTGATCAGAATGGTTTCTAAATTGAGGTCGAAAAATCAATAAACGGAAAATTTGATGCCTCATATTTTCGAAAAATGTTTAGGCTAAACTTACTGTTCATATACAGTACGGCAATAGGGTACGCTTGCTTTTAATGCCAATTTTATGAATGATGCAATGTATAAAAATGCCACAAATACTTCGCGCATGAGTCCCTTTATTTACAGAACAATACCATTACGGATCGTTTACGTTTTACTAACGAACATTACCACACTCCATCTCAATAATGTTAGCTATAATTGGCTGCTTACGAATCGACAGGAAGGGCTATTGGATCGATTTCAGAGAGTGCTCATTCTTGTAAATAGCCCTACAGTTGTGAAACGTTCGATTATTTTAAGACGTATGCAACTACACAGACGGGCTAGAAAATATATATTTTATCATTCAATATAAAGATAGTGATATAAAATAGTTCTATTGTTTATCATTTACCAAAATCCTTTGAGTCCGGACGAAAGATATATTGCCTTAAAATACAATTGAGACTAATAATAAAATTATAATAATAAAATTATAATAATAAAATTATAATAATAACCTTACACATCTCACAATTGGCCGTTTGATCCCAAACTAGGCAGAGCCTGTACTATGGTAAAGGACTGCTGATAAACATACTTATATATTTCTAAATACATACATATTATAGATAAATTATACCCAGACACAGAATAAACGATCGTGCTCATCACACAAATATTTGTCCTGGGTGGAAATCGAACCTACGACCTGCGACTTAGCAGTCAGGGTCACAAACCACTAGACCAATCAGCAATAATAATAATATGAGGTCATTAGATAAACAGCAGTTGGTCTCAGTCTGTAGTTAACACATTACTAATCAATCCTAATACACTCCTGAACAACTATATTATAAGATTATGGTTTTCAACTACGTACGGGATCAGTCCACGTCGTCTTCAAAACCATCCATCTTTGTTTTACAATCGCTTTACTAGACAGCATACAAACGCCTACTTAGGCCTAAATCCGTTATGTGCTAATCTGCCAAGACCCTGGTGAACAAACTTTAAGAATACACGCAATACTCACTTGCCACCAGTGACATCAACGTTGTCCTTCATCCATTTGACGATCGGCTTCGGCGCTCCAAACACTCTGCACTTAAGCACAGCCTCTGAGCCGTCCACCTTGGTCAGGTTCTCCGGACCCTCTTTGATTTCGGGCGGGATAGCTGCATGGATAAATAATCAAATTAGAAACTACAATTGATAAAGTATACTCTATAGCGACAAACTATTTCAGTTTAATCAATCAATAAGTATATAACTCGTAATATAACATGGTACCTCTGTTTTTAAGTCACGTAATCCTGATCCCTAATCCTGATAATGCAATAATTTGACTAGGTAAAATTAGGGAATCGTTCGAAGTACCTAATTAACCACCCCATAAGAGAAATGAATGAGTTATGTTGGTAATTCTTTACTAAAAAAAACACAACGTACACCTTATTTAAAACCAAAAAAAAAGACTGAGAATTTATTACAGGTTAACAATAAAAAGATAAAACGAAGCAAGAAAGTTAAGCATGTAATTTAAAGACAATTGCATAAAAGTAGTCCACCTTTTTCTGCAATTCATTGAAGGATAATTTTGGAACCCCTCCGTTTGGGATTTTGCAATTGGTTACGTCGCATCCCTCACTAGACACGGATAGTAAGTTAAGGCTCGATGGAGAAGTTCCCCCTCAATACATTCCTGGACAATAAATAGCTCCTGGACATTTTGTTGTAGGGGACTCACCGCTTAAGTTGGTATTTATTTTCGAAACCGAATGAGTGTGAAATGCTTCAAGCAAGTAATCAGGACAACACAGACCTGTGGTGATTACAGTTTCCTAATTAAAGTATTCATGAGTTCCATTGCGTTTAACCTCGAGGTAGATGAAAAGCCTCTGCAACCTCCAATGTTTTCGGAAAAGTAGACACCAAAAACTAATAAAACATATCCTTATGCTTTTCGTGTTTGTCTATGGTTTATACATTGTTAATAGTAACTACCAAGAATCCGCAAAATCGCTTATAATGCGTACAGCTTTCATGCATTCTATTGGACTGGAAATATATTTGAAATTTGAATGACATGACTCGGTCATTGTTTGTCTATTTTGATCTCTGAGTTCTCCATGGTATTGAAACTCTTTTGTTTTTTTTTTTTCATTTTCATATTTCAACCAATTTATGAAAGTGTTACTTTGTTCATTTTTGCTGTTACATTAAAATATGTTCTACACTCATACACATTACCTACCACCACCACCAACAGCCTAAAACAGTACTTAAAACATATGCTTTACATAGGCCTCTCCTTAGAAAGGAGGTTTTGGCCTACTATACCACGCTGGCCAAACGGGTTGGTATCAAGTTTTCCTTCTCTTAGCATTGCTGTCGTCCTGTGTAGTTTGCTCCCTTAGTCGGCTCTTACGACACCCACGGGATGAATAGGGGTGGTGACATTCCGTATTCTTAATCCGCCACCACACGGGTATCATTCATCATTACCTACGTATCTGTTGAAAACCTGTGTATTTTAAGTCTATCAAATTCAGTGTTTTCGTTGCGGCACACACTTCGCCGCAGCTAATAAACAGGCCCATAAATCTCAATAAGATGTTAAGTACACGATAGTATCCGTGGAAGTAATACGGTTATATTTCGCGCGGTGAAGTGTGGGCGTGTGAATTTGTGCCGCGGCGAGGATGTGCCCAATATATGCGAGACTACCTACTAGACGAGAGGTACACATTGTCACCAGTTATGAATTTAGTAGATTCGTTCATAGTTTAGATAGATAGTTTCATAAAAACACACGTGTTTACTACACTAGGTATGTACCTACACATTAAGTCTTTGACATAATTAAATTTTAAATATGTGACATCTATACAAATAAATAAAATTGGAGTGTCTGTTTGTAATATTAAAAAAAAACGCTTTTTACTAAATGCATATGTATGTTTACACGGTACATATGCCAAAATAATATTTTTTACAATTTTTGTCTGTCCGTCTGTTTGTTCCGGGTAATCTCTGGAACGGCTGGACCGATTTCGACGGACCTTTCACTGGCAGATAGCTGATGACATAAGGAGTAACTTAGGCTACTTTTTTTAGACTAGCTTTGCCCCGCGGCGTTGCCCGCGGTTATAACAATAAACGCGGGTAACACCGCGGGTCTCAGCTAGTGTAAGATAAAATGCAAGAAATCTAAAAGCATTTAAACTTTCTTGCATTTGCATTTCTTGCTAAGACTTGCATTATATATGACATTTTAAATGTTATTATTATATTACCGCAAGCTCACCTCTTTTTTTTTACACATTTTATACATGTTTATATAAACAAAATATTGATTGTTATTTCAACAGCAAAATAGTGACAATTTGGCAAAATGACACGTTCACAAAGAGATTATATTATTTGCATGCACCCTTACTGCTAACAATATCTTCATTGGGACTCGTGGGGAAGCGAATTCGATTTTCGCACCTACATCAATACTTAGTCAGCTTTTATGACTCACGTGGGGAAAAGGCACGAAAATCCAAAATGTATTAAACAAAACTGTGTGCTCAATAGGTATTCAAATTAAACCCATATCCTACCTTTTACTGATCTCCTATAAAATGGTATTTAGACAAAAATGTTTAGGTCGATATTTAGGATTCTTTTTATTTTAAACTTATTTACAACTGAAATTTCTGTCATTATAAAACAATTAGCAATATATCATTTAATATATCAAGGGCACTACATAAACGTATCAGATTTATAAGTACTAAGTACATCTAACAGTGTTGACTAGTTGTGTAACAACGTGACTTATACGAAAAACTCCCCAGATTGAACGTATTCAGGGACCGAAAACGATGATTTTGACAGACTTTAGGATTAGTAACAATAAGCACATAAACCTTAGTGATTTAGAAGTTCCTCGAAAGAAGAATAAAACTTGTTTTAAAATTAATGTGCGTAACATGGTTGTTTACTGTTTTATACAATTTTCTCTGTCTATTTGGTTTTTAAATCATTATTATTCTGTTAATTTTTTTTTTTAAACTAGTATTATTATTACTTGATGCTTTCGGTGCGTGAACATGACACTTGAAAGCATAAGATATCTAAAATTAATGATGTGACTAATACAATCGGACGCAGATTTGGGATTTGATAATAATACTATATATACTTAGTAAAAAAATCATTATTACTTACACGTACTTAAAACTACTTTTTTACGAAATCTAAAGCTATTGTTAATATTTATGCACATGTCGATTCTTGTGCAGATAGAAGAGTACCTACACTCTTCGGAATAAGCTCTTTTTTAACGGACATCAAAAAAGCGGAGGTTCTCAGAATTCTGTTATTTAACACCGGCCGGGGATAAGCATTGAAGAATACAATACAATGACGTAAGTGCTTTGAAGTCTTTGATACTTTTTTAAAGGTCAATTATTAGAATTCTATGTATATTTTTGTGTAGTTAAATTGTCTCTAACCAACTTAAACATATGATTAGTAAGATATTCAAAGTGAATCTATAAACAAGGACTCGTAACAGAATAAACGACAGATCCTTACAATCGCCCGGTGATGACATAACGTAGATTTTCAGTACTTAAGAACTGTCCATCTTAATCTCAACGTGCCCGTGTACTTCCTACAACGACCTCTTAGGACCCTCATTTTAATGTGTATACATTTGCTTCATATAACCTATTTCCAAGTCAGTTCAATTAAATTTTGTTAATGAATAATGATTATTGTGTTATATAAGCACAAATACGAATTGTACAATGGCGGACTGAATGCCACGGGCATTTTCTCCCAGTCTACCTTAGTTTGGCGCGGAAATGCGTGACTAGGTGCACTAGACATTGATGTTTGATGTGATGTACTAAAAGAAAATTATTGTTTTACTACGTTAGCTAATATTTACTAGCTTTCAATCTCTTCACCACACTTTATCGACTACTTTTTTACTAAACTTCATGGTAAGGACCAGATTATTACTTTGTTGTACTCGCTTGTGCTTATCTTCACAAAAAGACAACAATGTCCAGTATTAAAAACATTGTAACACTGTGTTTAATACTTTAACAATCAATCCTTTCTTACCAAAAAAATCCACTCTGAAAGAGTACAACCCCTTTTCGATGTGAACTTACGTGTACGGATTTAGATCTGCGATCATTGTATTTGATACAATGATGTACTTTTTAACAGTATTTTGTAGCATGATAATACCGTATAGTTAGATTTTATAAGCAGCTGATGTTCTAATGTAAGCATTCTAAACCCTAATTCAGACTGAATGGCAAAATGCGCAAGCACTTAATTACGAATTAAGTACAAACTTTATTCACTTAAAATAGAAAATTGTATGCAAAAAGCTAATTGAATTATTTGCTAATTGAATTAAGCTGATTGAATTATAAAGCTATATTAAATTATTGTTTTACTACGTATGCGTTACGTTACGTTATTTACTAGCTTTTGATTGAAAACTAGTAAATATTAGCTAACGTAGTAAAACAATAATTTTCTCTTACTACATCACATCAATGTCTAGGGTACCTGGTCACGCATTTCCGCACCACCCTAAAGTAAACAGAGCCGCTGCTCTGTTTGCCTAAAACTTATTTAGTCTATTTCTGGATAACAGTCCTTTTTTTTCTCTCGATTAAAGGTATCCTGAGGAGACTTTTTTGTACCCTGCCACGTATATGAAAGTCCTACCACAAATCTAGTCAGAAACCCCCACAAATACATTTTTATCTTATATATAAAATTCTCGTGTCACAATGTTCGTTCCCGTACTCCTCCGAAACGGCTTAACCGATTCTCATGAAATTTTGTGTGCACATCGGGTAGGTCTGAGAATCGGCCAACATCTATTTTTCATACCCCTAAATGGTAAGGGTGACCTATCCCTAATTTTTTTTTGTTTTGCAATACAACGTTGCCGGGTCAGCTAGTATTGAAGTAAAATCTTATTTAAACACATAAATAAAGTGTTTTTGAAAAGTGAATAAAGAATCCTATAACCTATAACAATTGTAAATCTCAACCTTCCAAAGACCAAAAAAAGGCAGCATAATGCGTTTTAGGGTTTAGGATGATTTTCGTGACATATAAACGTACAGAACTATTAGAATTTACCTACGGT